CAAAAGAAAATTACCTCCTCAGTTTTCACGAACAGAGAGAAAGAGAGGGAGAGACATGCGGCATTATTTTATTTTAACCTTTATTTTTGTTCCCATCAACATTTTTACCGATGTGAATAAAACTACTCTGTAGTCTGTCATCACAATAATTGTACTAGTACGACGATGGCGTTACTACAACACAATAATATTATGCGATTAGGTTGATTACTGATTAGGAAACTCATCATAGTTCTCCTCGTGACCTCTCTACTAGAGCATAACTGGTATTTTTCGTTGACATAATAATATCAGTTATGACAAACCTCTACTAGACCCGCGCAGATAGACCGCATGTCACCGGCACGATATTATAATAATTTATAACCTTCGTTTTCAATGATCGTCCTGACCACGGATAACCGAGCGATAATATACCGAGTAGGAAACAACGAGTGATGAATCTCTCGTGTGTGTTTGTTTTCATTACGGTATGAGGAGGAGAGAACCGTGTGGCCCTCGGCAGAGAGTAGTAGTGTTTTCGACGGTAAAAAACAAACGATTTATAATTTTCAAAAACACGTAGTTAACACACCGCGGTGTATGTGTGCGTGTGTAACTCGTATTTTTACCTACATTTTTGGCAACGACACCGTCGGCGAAGGGACACTGTGCCAGGTCGAGTGAACAAAAATTAATAACTACTCGTTAGCCGGACGCCCACCTTTGTTGCAACGCGCGTCAGCCGCCACGGCCCGGTGGACGAGAACAATACTCATTACCCGCTAAAAAAATATATTATATTATTATTGTTTTTCAGTAATAGTCTAGATACTTTTATCGAGAACGACGATTTTAGCAACATTTTCACAAACAACACACATTGTCCCGCGTAGGTACAGATTGAAACGTTTTCTTTATTTTCATTAAATATCATCAAGTGTAGGTGGTATCTATTATTATCATTTTTTTTAATTATCATATTTGTAGCCCGGGGGCCCACCTGTCGGTCGTAATTCACAGGACCAGTGTGATTAGAAACATTTTCGGTTATTAAAATTCTTATAAGCGATGCCCTGCGTTTAGTCCATGGACAACGGACGCGGACCGGACGGTGTTTAAGCAGTGAACGCACGTTGAGCGTACGCCCGACGAATATACTATGACACGAGACGTACAACAAGCGCCGAATAATAAATATAATAAAATAACAATATAATATTATGATGATATTTATATTTCGGGGATAAGAGAAGTACACGTACGTGGTGTTTCACAATTGTCGTTGAACACATACGCACACAAACGCTCACGCGTGATGACAATAATATTCGGCGGTCCGGATACTTTGTTTTGGTTCTGGCGGCACAAAAATAATATGCGATTATTTTCGATAAGAAAAAATAAATAAATCGTATCGTTTCCACGCCTGCACTAACCTATAGGCTAAAATATACTATTATTTACTGGTTAGTCGGCGGAGGAGTGTTGGTTTAGTCGTTTTTTGTACACGAACTACTAAGACCGCCTAATATCCTATACCGTTTTCCGAAAGCAATATTGTTATTATGTTTTTTTTTCCGCCGACAATACCTGACTGAATAGCCTCTTCTCTCGGGACGCAGCGGAGAAGAGAGAGGATAACCGAACGTCGTTTCTACTCTACAAAATCGATTTTCGCTACGATTTCAAGCCGAGCAGCAAACAGGTCGCGTCCGCCGCGGTGTGCGCGCAAAATTGTCGTCGTTAAAGCACACACACGCACGCACACACACACATTAAACGTCGTCGTTCGTTTTCTTTGGCCAACGCTTTCTTTTCGAAACGAAAATATATTTATGTTTTCATTGGGAAAGACAAATAATGATCATAATAATAAAAGCATCGCGTTTCCGCAACGTCCTTGTCGGCGGCGAATAGGTACACACGAAAGTACGAAACATGGTAAAATAAGTGCCGCGCACGCACGCAACACCGTCGTCATATTTTCGACGGCGGCGCGTTTAAAATAATACGTAGTACGTACGTCTAGCTAATAATAACTCGTTAATAAAGTAGGAGCCATGTGATGGCGCGGCCACCCGCCCGTCGGCCGCAAACGCTCGAGCGCGGCACTGAACAGGTTAACCTCGCGCGCGATCGGACCACGGACCACGGTCTACACTCAACACACGCCGCTGTGGCGCACAGGGCCGTTTCGTCGTTGTCGATAATAATATATTTAATAATAATGAAAAACACATCCGAATTAAATGTGAAACGAAATAAAAACTGTGAAAAACATTATACAAATACATAAAATAATAATATGACGGAGAGAGTGAGCCCGACACCGACCCTACGGGTGGTTTCCTTTCCCCGGACGCTTGTGCGTGTCGTGTTGTACCGACGAAGGGGCTAAAAAATTATTTACCCCTCACACGCGCGCGTCCCCTCGGAGAAAACGAGAGAAACGAGCTGTGTTTTGTATACAAACACAAAAGGGCCGAGAGAGAGAGAGGGAGCGCGCGCGCACGCAACATTTCCTGGACGAGAGGCAGAGAATAAAACGTGTGCGTACGACGCGTATTATACTAAAAAATATTTTCCGTGTTTGTTCGATGGGCGCGCACGGAAAACGAATGAATGAGTGATCGGGTTGAGACTTGAATGGGCCGCGCGTGGCGGCAGACGGAATAATATTGTTTATATTTAGATTAATAACACATCAACTATCTATATATTAGATTACAATACAGTTCGTCTGTACCGAGCAATGTTAACACATTTGGTCATTGTCGACATAAGCCGGATAAAATCAACAAACATTATAGCCATGCGTTTTACCTAATGTGTGGGTTTTTTTGTCTGTATAAGCATCAGATATCAACACAATTCGGATAATGTTATTAACGTTACACAATAAGTAATAGCTCGTCAATTATAGTAAATAATGTTAGAAGTTCTAATTCGATGCGATAATAACATTTTATTCTATATTTAAAATATGAAGTGTATATATAGTGCACAAAAATAAGATACACGTATTGATGTTGTGTCATCAGTATCTAACTCATTAAAAGCTATACATTATTGAATAATATTTTACTCTTACTATATTTTAATGATATGTCTTTAATCACAAATTTTATCTTGTACCTGTAATATTGTTATTAAATTTAATTTTTTAATTTATCTCATGGCTTATATTATATTCTTAAATTGTTAAGGCGTCATCAAAAGGTCCTAAGCTAATAATATCATATTATCCGGCTAATGTTAGCATTGACCAACATTTAATAATATTCATGGCGACTAACGATTTGGCCAATGTGTCGACATTATCCAAACGTTAACATTATCCGTAACATGTATATTTTAATGCACGCATATTTACGTAAGTACTATATTATTAAAGCACTTCACTACCTATACCCATTATACAGCACATCCGAACGTGGACAGAAATACTAGCAAGCGCGTACACACACACACACACACACACACACTCACTAGATAACTATTGCGGTATTTAACGTGGAAAACGGCGGCGACCTTGACATTTGAAGGAGTTTTGTTATTTTTCTGTAAAAATAAATTTAACGTCAACGTTTCCACGTTGAAAACCGTCCGAATCCACACCGAAGACCGACAGTGCGGTATCCAATAAGTCGGACGATGGGGTAGCACCAAATACCGATAGACTTCACCGACAGCCAACGTCGTCGTGGCGGAGAGGTGACGACGAGAGCACTGAAGCAGTGACGATGATTTTTGTTTTTGGCAAATGCGATATTCAACGTCGTCGGCGGGCAACGTGTGCAAAAGAGATGTGGCGCTCGCGAACGTACGTAACAAATCGGATTTATTATCGTATTTAGTAAATTCAAGACGAGTACCTATTTATAATAATATCATCGCCGGGTGATTTTTCTTTTTAATTGTCATTCGTGCAGTACCGTAAGTTGTTGTTATTGTTATTATTATCTTCACGCGGGTGACCTATTATTCATTTACGGATTGTATAATAACAGAATAATAATTTCAAGTAATAAACGAGAATAAATCAAAGAAAAAACTTATCGTTTCACAAATGCCAACCTTGAAACGGTTTATCAAACGAACACAATCGTCGCAATCGAGCCACAAACGTTTTCAGACCGAGTACGAGACGACTGCGTCGTACTCTATTCTCTACAGAGTTATAATACCGTGTCCGGAGACACGACCGATTGCCGCCGCCGCTATTATAATATTTAAGTATGTTGGATGGTTATATTATCATATTATTGTTGTTGTGTATGCACTTATTATATTATTATATATATGGACGGTCGCGTACACCCAAACCGTTCGAACAACAAAAGGTGAAATCCACAACAATATTCGATTTCCGACCACTACTCGCCATTCGCAGGTAACCGCACGAGTAACACGGTACAAGGTATAAAATATATACTACGAAAGCCGGATGCATCACAGGGCCAAAGAGGACGATTTCGATTAATTCTGACACGTCATTGCACGTTGGAGCAGACACCCCTACGATTTCAATACAACGAATCTCGCACATCTCCCACACTATTATAGTGCCCAAAAGTAACCACAGCACACGTGTGACCCACGAGTTCACTATCCGGGGAACCCAGTGTCGCTGACGTGGGCAGAAGTAGTCGGGTGACCGGCGCTCATGTGGTTGCTGAGATGATCGTGTCACGGCGATGACGTTTGCCGCGTGTACAAGCTCGCACACTGATAACGCGCCGGACGAGCCACGAGGAGAAGTCCACTCCTCCGGTTACCTGCAGTAAATCCTCCGGGGTAGAGGGTGGGCGGGTACAGCCCCGTCAGTACAACAAACCTTAACCACTTTGACTCGAGTGTTTAAGTCTTACAACTGTTTTTGTTTTGTTATTAATTTGTTTATCAACAATATCACTACATTATCATTATCATCAAAACCAACCTGTACGTCGTTACATAGGTAAATACCTATTATTAATATTATGTGGGTACACTAGGTACACAACACGTCAACTCACCTCTTGAAGTGCTCGCGTATTTTCTCTTCGCGTATATTGTCCGGCAGGTTTCCGACCCAAAGATGGCGAGTCTCCCTAACCATTATGTCGCCAACTCTTCATCATTCGGGAACACGCCCAAACACACAGGTCGCGCACAACGATTCCACCGCGGTCCCACGGATTCCGGTACGAGAAAATCACACACTCGCTCACACGCACTAAGCACGCCAGAAACGGCGGCGGCGGCGGAAACGAAAAACCGAGTGCTTTACGCTAACATCGCGGTCGAACCACACACGCGCGCGCACCGCAACGACGACGACACCCTGTACGAAATCACACGCGCACAGTATACTCCTCGCAGCACACTCGAGACGACACACTTGCCGTGTGTGCGCAGCGTGACAGTGACAATATGACGATTGCCTACGATAACCCGAACACAGAAAACACCGAACCAAACTGCACTGGAATATTAATTTATATTTTCACATCGGCACGTCCGTTTCGGGCAAAATTCGAAAAAGGAAAAAAAATAAATAAATAAACGAAATAATAATATTAAAAACGCACACGCGGCGAACAAAAATAAAAATTACTCGGTCAAAACACGGATTTCGAACAACACACACCAAAGCTATATATTATTATTATTATTATTATTATATTTATATACGATACATATATATATATCGTTGAACGAGTCGACACTGGTGAAGGATGAAATACGCGACACGCGTGCTCGTGTGTATCTCATCGGCGAATGCGGCCGTAAGCCCGTAAGCGTAGCTGCCACGGTTTGTTGACGGGTCCACTCCCCCACCAACCGTCACAGCCGCCACCGACGTTGCCGACACCGCCGCCGACGCCGCGGACGCGGCCGCCGTGCGCCCCACTGCCGCGGTCGTGTGGTACGGCCGTTCGCCGCCGGGCGCTGACGTCACCGCGCGAACCCGTCGTCGACCGCCGCCACCGAAATGCTTGGCGGGTCGGCGGGCCGCGGGGGTGAGCCGCCGCCGATCGAAACCGCAGGACGAAAACAACGCACTCCTCCCACTTATTAACGCCGCTCCGGGTCGGGCGAATCCATCGTAGCCGTTCTTTGGGGTACGGGACCGTGTTCGGACACCGGTTTTTTGGACGTGACTCAATATCTACTAGGCCACCGCATGAGTTTTTCTCGCTCGCTCCGCTCACGCTCCCGTGCCACACTCGGTCTATCCGTCTCAGTCGCTCCACTCGTGTACGCTCACGACGACCATAATAATAATAATAATAGCGACGTGTATAAAAGCGGCCGGTCTTCATACTCTACCCCCGCCCCCACCAATGGGCCCGTCACAAAAGCAAACGGCCGCGGAAGCCACCACCGCCGCCGATCTAACGATCGCGCGCTCGGGCCACCACTCGTCACGCCTAAAAAAGGACGCTAGTGGCGGGGACGGCGGCAAAGTGCGTTGCGCCGCCGGATCGGATGAGGCCGACGCCGCCGCCGCCGCCGTCGCCGCCGTCGTCGTCGTCTTCACCGGCCACCGCTCGTAGTTCGTACTTGGCGCGAGCACTCCGTCGTCGTCTGCCGGGCGCCGGCTCTCGATATATCAGTGGCGGCGCTCCCGCACTCGCACGCACTTACGTACGTTCCACGTACGCACGTCTTCGCCGCCGCCGCCGCCTTCGTCCTACAGAACAACAACGTTTGCGGTCACGCACACGCACGTACCGGAGCGCGCGGGCGCACACGTAAGCTCTGCCTGCGGTACGCGCCGTCGTTATGTTGTTATGCGATTCGAGTCGAGTAGTAGTCGACGCCGAGGACGGATTTTTCACACACATCGGACGACGACGTTACAACGACGCTTTTTTTTCTTTTATCTGTCCATGTTTTTTCGCTTTCACATCATTGTAATGTCACAAAATAATTATTGTAATATTTTTCTCGTGTGTACATAATATTATGTTATAACTTATAATATGTTTACAGCTACGACTATATCGTCCAATCGCGTCGTCGCTAGTTTTTAACACTCCGTCGTCGTCGTTCATGTCAAGCAGTATAATAATATCATGTTTATAATTTATAACTCCGGAATTGTACTACATTATTGGTGGTTCCGCATGAATTTTAAGGGTGTCGAATAAAAACGTCCCTCGGACGATAATCTACAACCGTAATCTCGATCGTGTAATCGTCGTCACAGTCGACGACAATATGGCGTCGGCCACTTACCGTATCGGTAGAGCAAAAAAAAAGCGGTCGATCCGAGGCGATATCTGCGATATCGTGTGGTGTTAGGCTCATTCTTACTTATTATTATTATTATTATTACTATTATTATTATTTATTTAATACGACGTTCCACTGTTTGGGTTCGTGTTTTTGTGCGACAGGTTTTTTTTTCCGAAGGCACCCCAAAATCATGGTCACCAGGATGCGGCGGCACATTCCAACAGGTAAACCGAGACGACTAAACATTGTGTGAAGAGATGGCAAATGTTTTCGAGTCAGGCGTGTGTGCACCACCCCCTGTAGGTACCGAGAAAAAATGTATTATAATATTATGTTTCGAGCAGATAGTGAGAGAGAGTGAGAGGGGGTGAATGAGTGAGTGAGTGAGAGCGAGGCTCGTAGAGAATACGACGCAATAATAAACACTGAAATTAATATGTAGGTACCTCCGATGGACCCGATGGCATTCGATGTTATAAAATACGAGATGGACGAAAAGTTAATAATATATTTGAAAATCCGCTAATTTTCGTGTTATGTAAATTTTAACGATGCCGGCTGCATTTCCGCCTTCATGACTCTCTTGAGGTGGTGTATTCGCATCGTTCGGAAAGGCGTTTCGTGTAAGTAAATTATATACTGCCATGTTCGGCGGGAGGAGTTAAAAAAATTTTAAATGTTCCGTTTTGGCGAATAATTATTTAAAATTGCAGCGATGCGTGCACATATTGTTGTTGTGCTACGCCTGTTATGTAGCCGCACCCGTCCATTAACTTTTCCGCATTTCAAAACATATAATACAATAATAACAATATATCGTCAGCGGGCGCAGCTGTATCAAAACCCATGATTGTCTTATGAGTTTTAAGTAATAACCATGAGGATAGGGTATTATTATATTACTATCTTAGTCCGTGGAATCTAATAAGTAATAACTAATATTATTTAAGACTCGTTGTCCATCTGGCGGCGCAGGTCCTTCTACATCAACAATAATTATTACTATTCTTTTATATATCTGGACTTGGATTATAAATTCAAGTGCCAAACGCTCGTACCGTAATAATTGAGGACTTGCGAGGGTTTTGTAATGAATACTACAACTGTGGTTATGGTGACCGACCGCTGTTGACGATCGAGACTCGTATGATCTCTCACCCAAACCACACGCCCTCCGACCGATTTGTATTTTTGACGTCGACATCATTATCCTTCAGCCCGAATATTATATTACGAAAAATATCGTTTCCACCTCGAGTATTGTTCACAATTGTTGACGTTCGTGACGCCGATGTTTTCACAAATGTATACGATCCGCGTGATTTTCGTATAACTCATATTATATGTTAAGTAACAATTAATATTATTGAAAACTCGTTATCCATCTGGCGGCGCAGGTCTTCCACAACAGCAACAACAACAACAACAATAACAATTAGTATCTGGACGCTGACAATATTCAAGTGTCAAACGCTCGTACCATAATAATTGAGGGCTTGCGAAGGTTTTGTTATGAATACTACACCTGTGGTTATGGTAACCACCGACCGCCGACGACGATCGAGACTCGCTTGATCCTTCGTCCAAACCCATCACGCCCAAACGATTTTCGTATTTTTGACGTTCGCCCGAATATTATATTACGAAAAAAAAAATCGTCTCCATTTCGAGTGTTGTTCACGACAAAATTCCACGTTCGCACAACGATGTTTTCAGAGATTTTTACGATCCTCGTCGTCATAATCGTATAGTGTGTGTGTGTGTATATATTTACGACCTATGTGATGCCCACGCTACAGTTCTTCGTGCCGCGGCCCCGCGAGGAGAAATTGTCGTTTACAGTATGGTACGATTGTTATTGTTATTATACCCGTCCGTATGATGACGTGTGGGTGTGTGTGTGTATGTGTTTTTTAGCCCATAAAAACTCTAAAAAAAAAAAAATGATAATGGTTATCGTGTCGAGCAACGAACCGTTTCTCGTGGTGGTGACGTGTATTTTATTACTATGATACACCTACAGCGTGAAAGTTTGCAGTTTTCGTTCACGCTTTTTTGGCAAGGAAAATTTTGTTTATACACGAAATCGATTCGTTCAGCCGTAAACGTCAACGACAACAACAACAACAATGTAATAAAACATAATAATGCCATAATAATTATAGTCGTACCGACAGTGACGAATAATAATTATAAGACGATACACGTGCATGCAGCCTATGCCTCCTAATGAGAACAATATTTTATTTTATGCATACAATAATTATAAATGGTACAGCACATTGATTCGGCGTAGGTATTTGTGTCGTTACCGTTATCATCGTTATGCACCAAATCCTAAACGATTGCAGACTCTTTGTAGTCCACCAGTTTTGGTACACACTGCAATAATAAAAAAATAATATGTAATAAAAAAAAATACATTAATATATATAGAATTAGGCTATAGGCCTGCATCTGATGATGAATGCTAATGCATTTGCTGTATACCTTCGAAAACTGTGAGTAAGTATACTCAGCATTAGACTTTGTTTGTTAGAAATAGCTGGCGGTCACGCAAGGCGATCGAGCTAACCACCGACTAAGACCCATGAGAAAATGTATAGATTAACATCGCAACAGCAAGTCTGAAACCTGAATATTCAATAGCAATTGTGCAGCAATAGTAGCATGAAATACTTTGAGCTTTTAACTGATGAAAGCGTAACAGTTCTGAATACGTTGTTGACTAGCATAAAGTATGTAGATTGGTTCTCTGACGGTCCGTTTTGGCGTTAATATAATATACACAATGTCCCAATATGCATATTTTAGATACATCAACTGAAGTATAGCGTTAGATGTGAGAGTATAATACTTAAGTGCCACTCTGGT